TCGGCATGACTTCTGATTGGAAGAATTTCTAGGGTTTATTATATGCAGGTTTTCAGTTCTAGGAGTATAGGTACTCGAACTGTCCTTGTTGATGCCCCCTTGGGCTATCAAACCCTCGATCATAGTCCATTATAGACTTAAGTGAATCGAGTTCAATTCGAGGGGATACATTTCTCTATGCCTGACACGGAGAATAAATTCTCACGAAGACAGAGAGCATATGAACCCCGAAAGTTACTTGCTAGGTCTGACACGGAGAATAAATTCTCACGAAGACGTTGCTTTCACTTTCACTTAAAAGGGACAACTCAATTATAGAGCTTTATGTTATGCAATGCAAGTGTTGTGTGTGAGGAGAAATGTTAAACTTTTGACATAAAAATAAATACTGAAATAAAATACTTGCAAATAAAACATATAAATATTATAAAAATAATAAATATAAAAAAAAAATTTGAAAAGAAAGAATTAAAAATTAAATATATAAATTTTTTTAATTTTTAATAGAGACAATTTATAATTAATTTTTAAAAGTTTGACCAGTCCCCAGCAGAGTCGCCAAGCTGTCGTAACCGGTTTTCGTCCGGGCACGAAATATTAAAATTTGGCGGGGAAATTAATAATAAATAATTTTGAAAATAATTTGTGAGTCGCCATCGGCCTTTTTGGATCAGGTAGGTCGAATACCTAAAAATTATTTTTTAAAGAGTTTTAAGAAAACATCAATAAAAAATTGAACTGATCTGCGTTTTATAACCAAAAATTTATTCTTTTTAATAATAAAAAGGGATTCGTGGTCGGTTACGTTTAGGGAAGGATTAGCACCCCTACAACGCCCAAAATTGGTACTTTTTAATTAAATTGTCTCTTAAAAATTCAAAAATATATTTAATTTATAATCTTATAATTTCAAAATTGTAAAAAAAATATTTATTTAAAAATATCCGAAAAGAACTTCTAGGTGCCTTAAGACAGCTCTTTTCTTTGATATTGATAAATATTAATTTAAATAATATTGTTTAATTTTAAAACATCAGAATAGGACATCCAGTTGTATTAAGACTGTCCTTTTCTTCGATATTAAAAATAAATATTTAAGAGTTAATATTTATTATATATATTTATGAATATATATCAAAATATTTAACAATAATAAAATAATAATTCTATTAAACAATATATTAAAACAATAAAAAATAATAAAGACATATAAAATTAATAACTAATTTATAAAATAAAACTAATTACTAATTATTAATTAATTGAAATTATAGGGTTTAAATATATTTTTTTTATTTAATAATTTAATGACCAAAATAAACTTATCTAAAATTCAAATTTTATAATAAAATAGATTAAAAGTATGAACTAGGGACTAAAAAATTATTTATTAAAATTAAGGGATTAAATCTGTCATTTATCCTAAATTATTTTAATTAAAAAGACTAAAATGAATAAAATTAAAATTCAAAGACCGAATTAAAATTCTTATAAATTCAGTTTAATGACCAAAATGTAAAGTTTACAAATATGAAGGACTGCGGAAGGGATTTAACTATTTTGTAATTACGCATATAGTCCTTCCCGAAACGACGTCGTTCGGGAAGGACTATAAGAGTCCCAAACCGGCTGGCCCTTCGGGCCAGCGATTTCATTTTTTTTTTTTTTTCTTCTTCTTAAACCGAGAGAGAGAGAGAGAGCCAGAATTCTCTCTGGCCTCTCTCTAGATTCCCTCACCGGAGGGAATCCGGCGGCCGTCTGCCGCCGTGAGTTCTGCCGCCGACCACCGCCGCCGGTGGTCGGAAGTTCCCCAAATTCACCTAAAACATAGATCTAGACACCCTGAGCCCGAATCCAACTTTTGTTTTCCCAAAAAGACTCCAAATCGGAGTAAATCTATGAAAATACCTTCGGTATTTTCGGTTCTCCGGCGATGTTTAATGATTCCGGTGGTGGTCAAAGCTTCCCTGGTAAGCTTCTCTTCTCTCTTTTTCCTTCTATTTTTGCTGTTGCTGTGGACTGGGATCGTTGGTAGTTGTTGTTGTTATTTTTTTTCCTCTGTATTTTTTCTGTTTTTTTCTCTTCTTGCTGTCTCTCCTTTTTTTTTTTTTCAGGTGGGTGGTGGCTTTTATAGCCACCACCGGTGTTCGTCTTGGACCGGTCCGAAGAGGGGGCTTCGGTGAGTCACCGGACTACCAGTGGTGACTCACCCCGTAGCCTTGGCGTGGACGGCCGGTGTTCTAGCTTCTGGAGTCTTCGGCTGGGACGTGACAGCGGCGGAGGCGGCGAGGGCTGTCGGCAGCCGCGTGGAAGCTGGAGCGGCGCCGCGTGGCCCTAGGGTATCAAACCCTAGGGTTCCTCTCTGGAGCCATGTGGACCGTTGGATCGTGCCAGATCCAACGGCTGTGATGAGGCGGCTGAGGATGATTAGGGTTAGGAAACCCTAACTGGAAACCCAAATATTTAGGGTTTCCGGTTGGATTTGGACCGGTTTCAGTTGGTTTGTAACTGAGCCGGTTTAATTGTAATTGGTTTGTATTTAATATATTTAATAATAATAATAATAATAATAAAAATAATAATAATAATAATAATAATAATAATAATAAAAATAATAAAAATAATAATGATAATAATATTAATAATGATAATAATAATATTAATAATAATGATAATAAAATGGATAAAAAAATAGTATCTTCATTCTGGACATGGAACATAGGCTTTCCCATTGGCATGGAATTGTTAGCCATGGATTCACTAATAAGGGGAAAGCCTCCCATATTTTTGTTGAGGAGACTGATTGAAGGAACGTTGAATGCCAAATAAAAGAGAATGGGATCACTAAACTTTGATGCATACCAATTCTCTTGACAATAGAACATGATTTGATTTTAGCATTTTTTTAATCCAAATTCGTCTTAAAATTGTAATTAAAATTTCGATTATGGTAGGATCTAATCCAATATTTTTTGTCAAAATAAAAAAAATTACGTAACATAATTACACTATCTTATTTAATAAATGGTAACATATGAAGAAAGTAAAACTCACTTAAATTGTTATTGATATAAATTATTGGGTAAAGTACGCGTTTAGTATTTAACTATTAGTTTTGGCTTGTTTTAGTATCTGCACTTTTATTTTTTTAAAAAAAAAATCATATATAATGTTTAGTTTTTGTTTCATTTTAGTAACTTAATATTAAGTTTTTGTTTTTGAAAGTTTAGGTATTAAAATGTGTCAAAATTGATAGTTTAGGTACTAAACACGTTAAGTTTTTAATGGGGATCTACTAAAATGGAACGAAAACTAAATATTAGGTTTGATTTTGAAAAAAATGAAAGTTTAGATTCTACAATGGATCAAAACATATAGTTTAGGTACTAAACGCGTAGTTCACACTAAATTATATTTAAATCAAATTCTTTTTATATTAATTAAAAAATAAAGGATAATCTACACTAGATACCTCTTAACTTTGTCTAGTGACCAAAACTGATAGTTTAGGTATTAAATGCGTTAAGTTTTTAATGGGGAGGTACTAAAATAGAACAAAAACTAAACATTAGATATGATTTTGAAAAAAATGAAAGTTTAAGTACTACAATGAATCAAAACAGATAGTTTAGGTATTAAACGTATAGCTCACAGTAAATATATTTAAATCAAATTCTTTTTTATATTAATTAAAAATTAAAGGATAATCTACACCAGATACCTCTGAACTTTGTCTACATACTTGTTTATACAACTGAACTTTTAATTTTTCCAATTATATCGGTGAACTTTAATTTTACATTAAATTTTATCACTTTACATTTAAATCACTAACGAGATGATGACATGACTGACGATTATTGATGTGACATATCACACCAAAACGATGTCGTTTTGGTATGGTTGTTATGATGCATGAAATGATGTCGTTTTAGACATTAAACTTTAGTGGTGTATCGATTATGCCACTGAACTTTTAAACATTTTTCTCTTTTACCATTACATTTTCTGCTTTCTGTTGACAATTAATTAGCTTATCATGTATCATCTTTCACAACAAAATTTGTATCAAAATGTTCGCATTTGACTCTTATTCTTCGTATATGATTAGTTTTTGTGAAACTCACTCAAAATCGATGAAATTAAACACAAAAAATATATCATTTTTTTATGTTTGGAGATTTTATTAGATTTACGGGATTTGGTGTGTTTGTTAAAAAAATATGAATAGTGAAAAACATTATTTCGAGAAGACGAACAACATATCTCAAAATCAATTTTATTGGTCGGTCATTGAAAGTGATCGGAGTATTAATACATTGAACTTTTAAATAGATTTTCATCGATTTTGAATTGATTTCTTGAAAAACCAATCCTAGGAGAAGAAAGAGGGGTAAAATATGAACGTTTTTATACTAATCTTACCACAATATATGACCGATGAACGAAGGCGCTTGGCTGCCGACAACTACCGAAAAGTGTAGTGGTAAAAAAGAAAATTATTTGAAAGTTCAGTGCCAAAATTGATACTCCCTAAAAATTTAGTGTTTAATACGATATCTTTTAAGTATGAGAACAGTTACACCAAAATGACGCTATTTGGTGTGGCATGCCATGTCAACAATTGCTAGCCATGTCATCGTCATGTTAGTGACTTAATGGCGAAATGACATAATTGAATGTAAAAGTAAAATTTAGTGCTATAATTGGCAAAATTAAAAGTTTAGTGGTCTAAAAAAGTCGTCTGAAAAAGTTCAGTGTTATTTGACGTAGTTTACCCAAAAATAAAACATCAAACTCCTTGCTTTCTTCTCTTCTAACTGCCCAACTGCCGCTTGCTTTCTTCTCTTCTAACCCTAAGCACCGTTAGTTTTACTGCCTAGCTGCCGCTTGCCGTCCAAACGTTCTTACCGTCTAAGTCACACCCTCCGGTTTCCTTTTCTTCCGTGCGATCAAGACACGAGTCAATAAACTTTGTCCGACCGTGCCTAAAATAAATACGAGAAGGAAGATATGTGTGTTTATCCAAGTTATTAAATAAAATAATTCCCGACGCACTATTAACTTTATTCCCACATCGCCGCCGCCTAAGCCTCTGCTCCCCCTCCTGTCCTTTGCCTTCGAGTTTGCGACAGGTAATTTTTGAAACCCTAAACTTAACTTGGAGATTGATTTCTATTTGAGTCATGAGATTTTTGTTGGTATCCGTCTCTGCATCAATCTGCTATATTTAATTCTGTTTTCGGTCCTATTCCTCTGTCGCATCTATACTGTCTCTGAGAAATTTTGCTGCTATTGATGTGATTTTTTTCACACCGCTATTGAGGTCCTAAGCGGCCGCCGATGTAACTGCTACTGTGCATTAGCAGCAGCGACAATGTTGACAACTTAAACCCTTTTGCCTATATTGCCTATATTGACTCTGTTTTGTTTACCCTGTTTCTGTTATATTAAGATTTTTTTAGCAGTATATATAAACTATAGAATATAAAAGGGATGGATAATAACTACCAAAGCTGAAAGTAGCTTACTTTCTTTTACAGGTTTATCTGAACTTATATTAAGGTGGAAATATGGAGAACTCTTGCCCACCTATAGAGTTGATGATCGGACAAGATACATTAGGGTATATGAACTTTTTAACTTTCTCTGTCTATTTTCTGCCAAATTATTAAAAAAAGCGTGTTTCATTTTGATTTCTTAGTGTTGTTGAAGAGTGTAAACATAACGGAATCCTGTTTGCATACATATGTAGTTTGGAAGCTAGTGACAGCAATGCTTTAATCTTGCCTACGAAAAGAAGCAAGAAAAGGAGAGGGAAGGATCAGGTATAAATAGTGCTAGTGATAGCAATGGCTGAAAGGGTTATCTTACCCTTGTTAGTACTGTAGTTTGGATTCCAATGATACTGATGCTTTAATCTCGCCCATGATTTTTCTTTTGATCATATAAAGTAAGAAGTTGTGGTTAAATACTTCTGTCCACAGGAGCTTCAACGGGTTAAAGAGAAGCAAAACCCCAAATTGAGTAAATCTCAGATAAGAAAGTTGAAGAAGATTGAGGTTCTTGCCCTATGTTGATTATCGATACCAAATTGCTTTGCTTCATTTGTTGTGTTAGGCGGATGACTTCTTATTTGTTGGCACAGGAAGAGAAAGAGAAAGCACTTTTGCTATTGACAAGCATTGAGACATTGGAGTACATTTCCTTTCCTTCTTTAAATAATATATCCTATTTTCTTTGTCTTTTGTTGGGAAATGTTATTGAATGTTTGAAAAATACTGTAACACTTGACTTGTTCAGGAAATACAAGATTCCAGAAGATGTATATTCTTTGCTGCAGTCCTCAAAAACTATTGGTCAGGTTTGTATCATTGAGTCTACAAATTTTTTATAGTAGGATATAATTATCATGGTTAACATGAATATGCTTTAACAGGCTAAAACAATGCGGGAAAAACGGAGGACAGCTATTCTATTTTCTAAAGTAGGTTTAGAAGTTCCTCATAGTGTCAAATCTTCTAAGGGGTGGGATCATGGTAATACTTCTTCTTATGAACCTGAAACTGAGTTGGAGCAATTAAACTTAAGGAAGGATACTGGTCAAAATCACATTGAACCTACCATGGTAATAGAAAAGGAAGTTGCAAAACAGGCCCATGACTCTTTGTCATCTTCTCAAAAGCTGACATTTTGTAAGGGCCTATCTCCAAGCTGCAGTGATGTTGATAATTTACCAACCATGGAGGTTTCCTTTAAGAACGATGATGCAGCTTTAGAAGAAGGCATGGAGACCTGTATTCCCAAGCTGCCTGTCAATGATGGGAGAAAAAGCTCCATGTCAAAGGTGAGTTGGATTTCAAACGTCTAACATATCATTTGAAGGAAGAATTGCATCTAAAGGGAAATTGTATAGACGTGATATTTTGGTTAGGTGTCATACTTTTGAGATTTAATATTTACTGAGCTTTATGTAAATGGAAGTCTGAAGTTAGAAGCGGCTAAATATTTATATATGATGAAAAAGTTGAAAGCGTATGCTAGACAGGTTGGACTTAGAAAAGTTGCTTGAATTAAAATTTTGGGCTTAATTTCCTCACATTTTTCTTGCATGTTTGTCTTTGTTTTTATGTCATTGTCTTGTTCGAGGTGTTTTGACATGAGGTAGGGTTCATTGAGAGACCTAAAATTTGATTTCAACTGGACTTGTTAAAATAAACTTTGTTCTTTGTAGGGACCTCTTTCTGCCCCTACTGTAGTGCATGTCACAAGGCCAGATGAGATTGAGAACAAAAGGAATGATCTTCCAATAGTCATGATGGAGCAGGAAATAATGGAGGCTATAAATGAGAATTCTACTGTAATTATTTGTGGAGAGACTGGATGTGGTAAAACCACACAAGTTCCACAGGTATGGTTGTATGATGCATGATTATGTCTACTTGGTGGGATCTAAAACTTGTTCCCTTTTAGATAGTTCTATTTTTACCCTATTTGTTTTCCATTATTTCAGTTTCTTTATGAAGCTGGGTTTGGTTCAAGCCAGTCTACCATTAGAAGTGGCATCATTGGTGTTACTCAACCCCGCCGTGTTGCTGTCCTTGCTACTGCCAAGCGAGTTGCCTTTGAACTTGGCCTTCATCTTGGTAAAGAAGTTGGGTTTCAAGTTAGGCATGACAAGAAGATTGGAGACAAATGCTCTATCAAGTTTATGACTGATGGGATTTTACTTCGAGAAGTTCAGGTTTTATTTTCATCCTAATTCAAATTATTGTTATGATCTGTGTGATAGTCCTGATGACTTTGCATGAAAAATAAATATCTTGCATTCTTCCTGTAGCACTTTTTTTTTTTTTTTTTTAATTATACCTTCACGCTTGGTGGTGCAGAATGATGCTCTATTAAAGCGTTACTCTGTCCTTGTTCTGGATGAGGCTCATGAGAGAAGCTTGAACACAGACATACTTATTGGAATGCTTTCTCGTGTAATTCGACTTCGTCAGGTGAAACTTGAAAGATGCTTGAACTTGGGTCAATAAACATATTTTCTTCTCTTTTATATTCAGCTTTATCTTTGCTGAACTATTTTGTGGTTTATGGCAGGATTTGTATGAGAAGCAACAGCAGATGGTGCTTTCAGGACAAAGTATAAGCCCTGAAAGCATGATATTTCCATTAAACCTTGTTCTGATGCCTTTAAAAAAGTCATGTCTATACATAAGAGGCTTCCACCAGGTGGCATACTTGTTTTTGTCACTGGACAGAGAGAAGTAGAATACTTGTGCCGAAGGTTACGCAAGGCTTCCAAGGACATAATCACCAAAATTTCTAAAGGGGGCAACGTTACTGAGGCCACTCCTTACTCTCAAATAAAGTTGGATGAGGACATTAATATGAAGGATATTAGTGAAGCATTTGAGATAAATGGAGAGTCAACTCACCAGAAGACTGACAGGTTCAGCTCTTATGATGAAGATCACTATGATTATGATGAGGATGATTCAGAGACAGATAGTGAACTAGAAATTTTTTATGAGGATGGTCAGACATTGGATCAGAAATCCATGGAAGATGGTGATAATTTGGTTGATGTGTTGGGAGGGGATGGAAGCCTTGCTTCCCTGAAGGCTGCTTTTGAAGCTTTGTCTGAGAAAGATGGTTTAAATTCTAATCCCAAGGGACAAGAGGATCTCTCTATCAATCCAGAGAACAGCTTAGAACAACCTTCTGCTCCCATTGAAAAAATTAGTGAAGGTAATAAAGGCCTCAATACTGGGTCACTACGAGTTCTACCTCTTTATGCAATGCTACCTGCAGCAGCACAACTTCGTGTATTTGAAGAGGTGAAGGATGGAGAGCGGCTTGTTGTCGTTGCTACCAATGTGGCTGAAACCTCTTTAACCATCCCTGGAATAAAGTATGTGGTTGATACCGGGAGAGAAAAGGTCAAGAATTACAATTCTACCAATGGTATGGAAACATATGAGATACAGTGGATAAGTAAAGCATCTGCTGCTCAACGAGCAGGAAGAGCTGGAAGAACCGGTCCTGGCCATTGTTATCGTCTGTATTCCTCTGCAGTTTTTACTAACATACTTCCTGATTTCTCTTGCGCTGAAATATCTAAAATACCTGTTGATGGTGTTGTTCTTCTTATGAAATCCATGGGCATTGATAAGGTGAGCTTAGCATCTATTTTGCTGTTTTTCTCTCTTTATAAAAGTTTCATATTGGGATCCATATGGTGCTTAAGTGAGATAATTTATGTGTGAACTTAGATATTTGTATTGTTTTGTCAAAATTTGACCCTATTAGAAAACCTTTTTTTTTTCCCATTAGCTCTAGCCTATGAAAGCTTATGATAAGGGATTATTTGTGGTTGAGTCCTGCCTAAGCTTTACTTGGTGACTAGTTGACCCACATTCACTTGTTATCGAAGTTGTTCAGTAATGAATATCTCTGTCATGTTTTCTGTATTTTTTTCAGGTTGCAAATTTCCCATTCCCGACTTCTCCAGGACCCACTGCACTGGTTGAAGCAGAGCGTTGCCTGAAAGCTCTTGAAGCACTAGACAGCAATGGAAAGTTGACATCTCTGGGGAAAGCCATGGCTCATTATCCAATGAGTCCTCGCCACTCAAGGATGCTCCTTACTGTTATCCAGATTATGAGAAGGGTGAAAAACTATGCTAGGGCAAATCTGGTTCTTGGATATGCAGTTGCAGCCGCTGCAGTTTTGAGCTCAACAAATCCTTTTGTCATACAGTATGAAGAAAGCCACAGTCAAAATGATGAATCAAAGCCGGCTACTGGATCTAATCCCTTAGATAGTGAGAAAGCTTTGAACAAGAAAGAAAAATCAGAGAAAAGAAAACTAAAAGAATTGGCCAAAATGTCCCGAGCTAAATTCTCTAACCCTAGCAGTGATACTCTGACAGTTGCTTATGCATTACAGTGTTTTGAGCTTTCAGAAAACCAAGTAAAGTTCTGCAACGAGAACACATTACATCTGAAAACCATGGAGGAAATGTCCAAGCTAAGAAAGCAGCTTCTTCAGTTGGTTTTTAATCAAAATGTTCATTGTGATGCTGGACAAGATTTCTTATGGACACATGGAACCATGAAAGATGTAGAGCACTCTTGGAGGGTCTCTTCCAGTAAGAACCCACTTTTACTGAACGAGGAAGAACTCTTAGGACAAGCTATCTGCGCTGGCTGGGCTGATCGGGTTGCCAAACGCGTTAGAGGAGTTTCAAGATCATCTGAAGGCTATAGGAAAGTAAATACAGTCAGATATCAAGCCTGTCTGGTTAAAGAAACTGTCTTTCTCCATCGTTTCTTCATTTCTTTCAAGTTCTGCCGGAGTTCTGGGTGTATAGTGGACTAATACACACAAAGCGGCCATACATGCATGGGGCAACTAGTGTGAAATCGGATTGGCTCGTTAAATATGCCAAGTCTTATTGCACTTTCTCCGCTCCTCTTACCGATCCTAAACCTTATTACGACCCTCAAATAGATGAAGTATATAGTTGGGTGGTTCCCACTTTCGGTCCTCACCTATGGCAACTTCCGATGCATAATTTGCAGATCAGTAACAACGAACATCGAGCGGCAGTATTTGCATTTGCTTTGATGGAAGGTAAGGTATTGCCGTGCTTAAGCTCTGTCAAGCAATTCATGTCAGCCTCGCCTGATATCATTTTAAAGCCAGAATCATACGGTCAAAGACGAGTCGGAAATCTTTTACACAAGTTGAAGATATGGTCGATCGACAGTTGTGGCCAGTTAAGAAAGACATGGGAGGAAAATCCAAGGGCATTACATTCAGAAATTATTGACTGGTTTAAAGAAAGTTTCTACTCACAATATGAAAAGCTTTGGTCAGAGATGCTCTCTGAAGTCCTTCTAGAGCCCGAAGAACGTTTCCCAAAGAGATTGAAGAGAGAGAAAAGGAAAAAATAGTGTTGCTTGCAAGTTAGGAATGAACAATTCTATTTAATCTATCATTTTTGCACGTCTCAAAATGCTTAGTTTGGATTTGGTAGGATTGAAAATGAGCGGTTAGATTTTGTAATGAATCATTTGCAGCTAGCATTAGTTTTACCAATGTCCTTGGCAGGTTTTTAGCTGCCTATTGCCGTTCCTTTTTACTTTCTCAATGCACATGGCAACTACTATACCGACTCAAGATTGTTACCCAAGTTTTGAAGCTTAACTATATTGTTTTGGATACCTGCAGACATCATTGCAGTAATTTTTTTATGCAATTCTGATAATCTCTAACAAATTTGATAAGATTTATAATAATTTTCATAATTTCTAGTTTGTTTTGAATTTGGTATTTTTAACATAAATTTAGTGTGGTTCTTTTATTATTATTATTATAAAATTTTGGTTACAACTATAATAGGGTTGGAGGAGCATTCATCTAGGTGTTCATGTACATTAGATGTAGGTAGCGGTACCCAAGCAAGTCTAGAAGTCACGTTGGCATCTTGCGCCCAACTTCATCCTTTCTACGTTGTTTATGTTAATGTGTGACCAATTTCCCTATAAAGGCAACGGTCTCAGCCCCTATTCTTCATCCACTTATCTTTCTTTTGTTCTTGCATCGATTATTACATTGCAATGGCTCTCTCCGTCTCTCCTTGGCATTCTCCTTAATTGTACTGTCATTGCTAGCAACTGCTTCGGCTGGCGATCATGTTGATGCTTCATCCAAGTATGGTTTCGATGGAATACCGGCCGACAGCCCTCAGGCAAAGTCGGAAGAAGCTCAATATGGAACCAAACCAGACTACTACAAGCCCAAACCAGCATAAAATGAGAAGCCTGAGGAAAAAGAAAAGCCAGAAGGAGAGGTGAAGCCTGGTTATGGCACAAAACAAGACACCTACACGCCAAATCCAGAAGGCAAAGAAAAACCATACGTTTTCAAACCAAAATCAGAAGAAGACAAGCCTAATATTGGGGCAGATCAAGGCAATTACAAGCCAAAACCAGAAGAAAATAAAAAAAATATGGTTACAAGACGAACTCATTCGTTGTTAAACCAAAACCAGACTACTATAAGCAAGCAAAGCCAGATGAACTGCCTGGGCATGGTAAAGGTTACGAAAAGTCTTCCTATGGAACAAAGTCAGAAGAAATGAAAAATCGTCTCTCCATTTATGTTCAAGGGACTGTTTTATGCAAAGAAGGTTCCAGGTACTACCCCATTCAAGGTAAGGTCTCGTTGGACAATTTGTAATTTGTACTGATTAAGTCTAATGGGGTTCTTCTGCTTTCTCACTTTCTTCTTCTTTGGGTTGAGTAGGGGCTTTGGCAATGATAACATGTAAAGGTGTTGAGAAAACTATCTCCATTTGCAGCAAACCAACTGATGCAAAAGGTTACTTCTTCGTTCCATTGCCTGATTTAGGTGGCGACAAGTTGAAGCTAAGAGAGTGCAAGGTTCATCTTAAAAGCTCTCCATTGGAGGCCTGCAATGTTCCCAGTGATGTCAACAAAGCCATCCAGGGTGCTCTTCTTTCTGCTTTCCGTGTCCTAAACGACAACAAGACCAAATTGTACTCAGTCGGACCTTTCTTCTACACCTCCCAAGCTAAGCCAGCCCCTAAAAATGGTTACTGAATTTGATTTCTTTCTTCTTCTTCACTGAACAAAATAAATTCCTCCCCAATTCCGATCTTCTGTTTTGAAGTGGGAGATGGCATTTTGAGTTGATTCTTTCTGTGTTATTTTTCTTTTCTCTTTTTGACCTGAATATTGTTATTTGATGATGATTTTATTAACTGGCTCCTGTAGCAGCCTTTGTAAAATTATGTATCTTGTTGTGATTAACTTTGCCCTATCAATAACATTTTGAATTAATATCTTTCTCTATGGATGATTTACAACTAATGCCAAGCACTCTTTGTGTGAGTAATGGAGTTATTTTTGAGGGGCAGGTTATCCCATTTAAGAAATGACTGAAGTGGGTAGTTATCATTTGAAAAAACTTTGCCCTTCTACCATTTCTATAAAAGGATAGTCCCTCCCCTTATTTGATGTAATATATTTTTTCTAGTTCTATTCTTTCATTTTCGGAAGAATTTAACGAAGAGACCAATATAATCAAGGTTCCACTTCCTCCCTTGGTGTATAAGGTTTGGAAGACTATGTTAACGTCGGAGACAATATCTATTTTCGGGATTATATCAATTCAGACTAAATTGTTTGTTAGTATAATTCTAAATATTTTTTTGTTGTTCTCATGTTCTAAGATTTTGCCCTGATTAGTCTAGACCGATCCGGGTCATACACTTAGTTTGAGTGGATGAGTCCCCTAACGAAAATTTTATGCATACACAAGAACTCGAACCTGAGACCTTGCTTAAGCGATATCAAACTTTTCGCTTGAATCAACCATGTTAATATAATTCTAAATACTTTAGTGAAATAAAATATAAATCGAGTTGACAACCTTAATTGACTCATCCATTTTATTTGTGTATTAATCAACCACGAAACATTCGCCAATCTCCCTAAAACTCAGCATGTTCCCTCTTATCACTGAGAAAATGCTCTGTGGTCTACCAACTAGCTTTAGAGGGAGTTGAGTCCCCACCTCTTGATTGTTTGTTCTGAACAATTTTTGGGATTACATCAAGGCGAAATTATTTTTTAAGACAATAATTTCTACCACAATATAAAAAATCGTTTTATTTTCTCTATTATTCGATTATTACTTGCTAGCCAATACTGAACGTTTTTTTATATTACAACAACTTCATTTTCTAAAACTATGCATTATTAATATCTTTCTCTATGGATGATTTACAACTAATGCCATATACTGTGCACTATTAATATGAAACAAAATAAAATTCACAAATGGTGACAAACTGACTATTAACCAATGTATTTCTTTTGATTTAAGAAAATACCACCATCCATCTGCATAACTTCCCCTGTTACATGTATACCATCAATATATATGATCATATAAGTGATTAGTGCCTCTTCTTTGAAGACAAATAGCAAGGAATCTGCTCTAGAGCATTTGAACCCTACAAACTGCAATAAACCTATACAAAGGTTTTCTAAGTTTACACACAAACCTTGTACCATCAGATTTCTTATGCTCAAGACCACTAGACTGCTCCACGTACACAACCACATTAACATCTCCTTTAAGAAAGACTTTGTTAACGACTGGTTGATGCACCTGCTACTGATTAGTAGTTGCTAATGAAAGAAGAATATTGAACGTGAAAGATTTAACCACGAGATTGAATGTATCAAAAAAATCGTAACCAAGAATTTACGAGTACCCTTTGGCAATTAACCTTGGCCTTGAATCTATTGATTGAAACATTGATATTTTACCACAAACAAAATTAAAAGTATGTGACATATTTTAAAGCTGTGCCATTCATATTTATCTATGGAGTCCGAAGTCCAAAACTGTAAATAAAATCTTCTAAAAATAGAGAGAGATTAAGCCAAAATGTTATTGATAGTGCAAAGTTCATCACAAGATATAAAATTATGACAGAGGCTGCTACAGGAGCAAGTTAAAATCATCATCAAACAGCAATATTCAACTAATAAAAGGGAGGAAATAACACAGAAAGAATCAACTCAAATAGCCATCTCCAACTTCAAAACAGAAGATCGGAATGGGGGAGGAATTTATACTGTTCAGTGAAGAAGAAGAAAGAAATCAAATTCAGTAACCATTTTTAGGGGCTGGCTTAGCTTGGGAGGTGTAGAAGAAAGGTCCAACTGAGTACAATTTGGTCTTGTTGTCGTTTAGAACACGGAAAGAAGAAAGAAGAGCACCCTGGATGGCTTTGTTGACATCACTGGGAACATTGCAGACCTCCAATGGAGAGCTTTTAAGATGTGCCTTGCACTCTCTTAGCTTCAACTTGCCGCCATCTAAATCAGACAATGGAACGAAGAAGTAACCTTTGGCATCAGTTGGTTTGCTGCAAATGGAGATAGTTTTCTCAACCCCAACCTTATCAACACCTTTACATGTTATCGTTGCCAAAGCCCCTACTCAACCCAAAGGAGAAGAAGAAAGTGAGAAATCAGAAAAACCCCATAAGAATTAATGAATACAAATTATAAATTGTCAAACTAAACCTTACCTTGAATTGGGTAGTACTTGGAGCCTTCTTTGCATAAAACAGTCCCTTGAACAGCAATGGAGATATGATTTTTCATTTCTTCTGGTTTTGGCTTGTATGTGTATTGATTTGAGCCATAAGAAGGCTTCTTTTCTTCTTCTGGCTTTGCTTGAGGGATATCAGCCGGTATTCCATCGAAACCATATTTTGATGAAGCATCGCCATAAGCAGGCCTCTCATTGTATACTGGCTTGGTTCCATATTGAGGCTTCTTTTCTTCTTCTGGCTTTGCCTGAGGGCTGTCAGCCGGTATTCCATCGAAACCATACTTAGATGAAGCATCACTATAATCACCAGCCGAAGCAATTGCCAGAAATGAGAGTAAAAGTAAGGAGAACGCCAAGGAGAGATGTGAGAGAGCCATGGCAGTTGAACTATTAGTTGACTCTGCAACGTGATTGTTGTTTTAAGTGTAAAGTGGACGATGAACAGGGCTAGACACCGTTGCCTATATATAGAGAAATTGGTCAAAAGTACTTTTCCATCGAGTATCGATTCAAATTATATATAGGAAATAAAATAAACAAATGTAGAAAAGTTGGGTGCACGATTCCAATGTCAAGATATTCGGGTACCACTACCTACATAATCTCAATGTAATCTACAATGTCTATATAATATTTTATATAATTTCTAGTATAACTGTTTCCAAAAATACGATAGAAAAATATATACTTTAAAATTTCTTAGAATTGAGGAGTTTTGTAGCGTTTGTTCGAAAATTTAAATGACTTGGATTATTATTTTGAGAATACGAACAACATAACTTAAATTTGGTCTCATCGAACGATCATCGAAGGAGATTAGAGTATTAACACGTTGAATCTTTAAATAGATTTTCGTCGATCAAAAGTGAATTTTCGTGGAAAATCAATCTTAGAAAAAGAGAAAGTGAAATGTAGATGTTTTAGTACCAATCTTTTCGCCTAAGACAATCGGTGATGGGCGGTGATTGATTACTGGTGGCGGCCAAATAAAAAAGTTCAGCGTCAAAAAGTGAACTATTTAAAAGTTTAGTAGCAAAATCAATATACATCTAAAGTTTAGTGACTAAAACAATGTGTTTTAGGTATAAAAAGCCGAAAAAATATTGTTTTGTCCATGTGATCATACAGTTTGAATTTTAGGCCCAATGACATAATTGAAGTCAAAACCAGAGTTTAGTGCTATAATTGGATAAATTAAAAATTTAGTGATATAAATGATATATATTGTCTAAAATTTAGTGATATAAATGATAAATTTTCAAAAGTTCAGTGGTATATAAGGATGGACCGAGGGGCATGTGGGGGCAATCCTCCTTTAAAAATTTAAAATTGTCATGTATTTTCTATTGAAAATCTATTTTCATCCCTTGGAATTTTAGTTCTCCTCTTAAGTTTAAGATCGTCCCCTTAACATAAAATCTTACGTCCATCCCTGATGATATAAGATTTGAATACGTGTAAATAGAAAGGGATATAACATTGAAATTCTTTAAATCGATACTACTTTATATTAATGTAAGATTTAAAAAAAAAAAACTATGAGAATGCCCTTGTGTTCTCCCCTTTGTTGGCAGTGGAAATTCATATCACGTAGTTGGCGAACTGTGGATAAGTACAAGAACAAACATGCATTCACGTTCAGTTTACGCCCAGCAGAGCAGGTGGCCTACATTTCCCTTGCTTGCAGTCGTGCTACCAACCGAGTGGATCTCCATTCTTCTTCTTTAATATAAAGTCAGGGCAAGCTAATTAAGTACGTCTCAATTGCCAATTTCACATCATTGAAAACATGGTTTCCACTCATTTCTTCAATGCAGCCACTCTGCTGCTGGTTTCATCTCTTGTCATCGTATCCGCCATTGATTACAGTCAAGGCTCACACCCAGACATTAACAAACCAACGCCAAAGGCAAAAGAGAAGCCACTTCCCATCGGAGTTGAAGGCCACATTCTATGTAAATCAGGCACTTCATCACCTGCACTACCAGTTCAAGGTAATAATATCTCCATCAACATTACTTTTGCTTTACTTGTTGTAGCTGATAATACTGGTTTTATAGGAGCTGTTGCAAGGATAACATGTTTAGCTGTTGATGAGTCCGGTTACGAGACAGCACCCTTCTCCTTCTTGAGCGGTGAAACTGATAAAAATGGGTATTTCTTTGCAACTTTGACTCGTTCTGATAAGTTACAGCTTAGGCAGTGCAAAGCTTTCCTGAAAAAATCTCCACTAAAGGATTGTCAAGTTCCAACGGATGTCAACCGAGGGATTGGAGGTGCTGTCCTTGATTCTTACCGTGTCCTGAACCACAAGAAAATTAGGCTTTACTGGGTCGCTCCTTTCTACTACACATCAGACTCAAATGGCTATAAACAATAAGATTGTTTCACTTTTTTTCCAAGGTTTCGTCTTGATTAATCCGGACCGATCCGCGTTGCACACCTGACTTTGGTGGGTGAGTCTTCCAGTAAGGATTTTCTGCATACACAAGAACTCGAACTTAAAACATTACTTAAACGATATCAAGGTGGTTACCACTTGAATCAACCTCTGTTGGTGTATTTGATAATAAATGTTATTTTCTTAAATAAATTATAAATATATCACTCAATTATAGGGAAAAAAAACCTTATTTGCTACTAAACTCATAATTGGGTGACCTAGAGTGTACTTTACCCTAAATAATTAGAGAAGTATTTGAAAGTGATAGATGGTTCTGTCCCCCTACATAATATACTAACAACTTTTTTATTTGAAAGTTTACTTAGACCCTTAAAATCTAAATTTTAATATTAAAAATGTTATTTTATAATGACAAATATCTGTTCGAATATGTATGAAATTAACTTATGTTTAGAATTTAGTTGATTGATTAAACACAAAAAAAATAGTTAAATTAATTAATATAGGTGATAAAAGAAAATAATGAATGGGCAGTGTTTTTTTTCTTCTTATAGTTATTATTATGAACGGATGTGAAGCAAAATTAAGATGCCGAGTTGCCAAATCAGGAGGGAATGTCCGCTTCAACCTCCGATTTCGATAGTTCACTCTTTCCATGGTCAATCCCCACATTCCTCTTCATTATTACAATCATTCCCTTTCCCTGCCTTCAACCCCCTGAGTCATAACACAACACAAAACATAAACTTATGGAGAAATGTAATGAGAGTTGTAATCAATGTAGAAATAAAGCTAGGCCAATAATCATGAACGCCGCCGGAGGTGGTATCGAAAGGGTGGTTGCGTTGGGTGGTGCCTTGGCTGTTGCAAGCATCGTAGCTGCATTTTCAATGAAGAAAGGTGGCACGAAAGATAGCAATAATAAGGACACGGACAATGACACGACGAATGTAGCAGCACCTGCGCCGGCGCCGGAGCCAGCTACCGAGTCTTGTGCCGAAGAAGACTATACAAGTGAAGGGATGTGGTATATCCCAAATAAGCCATCTTCAACTATGCATCAAGATTCATGGTTAGTATATATTTCTTAACATTACTATGGGCTTGTTTGATGCTGTGAATAATGTTATTTGGAGGGCAATTTGTTTGCAGCTGCACAAATAATGGAACATCAAATGCTGTTGTCACCGAAATCGGAACTTCCGAATTGGTCTCGACCGAAAGTTCGATCACATTGGTAAAAAGATATTGCAGCTTGTGTTAATTCTATGTTTTTTCTTTATCCATCAAACCATGTCTATGAAACATTGTATCATCACTTAACATGTTTTATTCAGGAGGAAAATACTATTGAATCCGAATGTATGGAGGATTCTGAAATTATTCAGCAAGAGACGCTCGTCCACGACCCTGAGGAAGAAAGCAATGAGATTACTGGTAATCATGGAGATATTCAAGAGCTTTCCGCGCCGGTGAGTGAGACTGAAAACAATCCGGTGAAGAGACTCGCCTCTTTAGAGATGGAGTTCATCGAAATAATGGTAGTCGATGAAGCACCTCAGGTGGATGCGGAGCAGCCGACACCGCAACTGTCTTCGCCGTCCAAAGAAGAGAAATCATCAATTTCAGAAGGAGAACAACAACAACAATACTCAATCATGCAATCATCATTTCAACCACTAGTAGCAGCTGAAGAAGAAGAAGAATACTCAAGCATGCAATTATCATTTCCACCACCACCAGCAGTTGAAGAAGAAGAAGAATATTCACAAATGAGACCGACTTTTTCTTTTGGAGAAGACCGACTTGGTGAAGATGGAAAAGATGAAGATGAAGACGAAGACGATTTATCAGAGGAATCATCATTTTCAACAGAAGAAGGAGGAGCAGGAGGAGAAGAAGAAGAAGACTCAACCTTGCAATCATCATTTTCAACAGAGGTAGAAGAGGATGGAAATGGTGAGAATGAAGCTGAGTTAGATGAAGAGAGCTCAGAAGGAACACGGAGCTCTTCCCCAGAACCTAACATGGAGGTGATTTGGCCAGCAGAGATAATGACTTTCATCTCATCTGCACCGAAAGAAATCAATCTCAGCCATCTAGAATCCGAAATGAAAGCCATTGAGGATGTCAAACCGAACAAGGGAGAACCACATCATGATTCTGCTAGAGACAGGTTCCATGGAAGGAACAACAATAATGGAAGAAACAACGACAGAGAAACTGGGGAGCTTGGAGTGATGGATGTTCCAAAACAACATGCAGCAAACCGGCAGACATGGTTTTGGTTAGGTTTGGCGGTACTGGTACTTGCTTTGCTTGCCAATTGCTTACTTCATTCTAATTATCTCTCTAACAATCTTTCTTTTGTTTTTCCCATGAAATAAGAATCTGAACTGACACACACAGGTGCCAGCAAAATTACTCTATCAATTAAATAATCTAAGTTTTGTACATTTCATTTAACCCAAGTATTTTTTATCAACTTTTTAATAAATTCGACACCAACCACTAAGCTGAGTTTATACTATTTGGAGGGAAACTAGTCCATTCATATGAAATAAACATGAAACTTACCTATCCTTGCATTCATTTATCTTTACAAAAGTGTATTCTCTACTTGCTTGGCTTATTTGGCTTGTTTGGTTATGAAATAACATGAGAAATAGTATCAAAAATTAGAACACACGTATTAATCATTAAGAACACTTCAAATCAAAAACTGATAACGTGAGTTACCATAATATAATTATTGGATGTTGAGTGTTTTAAATAAAAGAAAATTAAAATGAAGAGGCCACCAATGTAATATACTCATAAAATTATTTTATATTAATAACCTATGTATTTAATTGCCCATCATTTTCCGTTTTTATCATTCAACTATATTGTTTTAAAAATTACCATTAATATTACGTTTTGATTTTAAAATTTTTAAAAAATTATTGATTTGATAACCATATAACAAATATTAAAGGACAAGCTGATATTAAGTCCCAATAGAAGTAGTACATCAACCTTAAGGTAATTGCAAGTCAAGGTCGCGTGTGGTAACTTGTTTTGCGGCCGGAGTGTTCAAAAATACCCGACTCATCGACTCGATCGAAAATTATCATGTAATTATATTGGAAATATCCGAATTTTCGAATCAAGTACATGGTCTGTTAATTTTCTCGAATTTTCAAATTAGACCTGAGTCACAAAATATGATTTAACCGGATACCCGCTGACCCGGATACATATGATTTAACCGGATACCCGCTGACCCGGTATCCGGTATCTTTTTAACTTAGTTTTTTTATCTTTTAGTATAAGTTATTAGAAAATTAAAACACTAAGAGGCAGGCAATAAATTGACCAATAGATCCGACTGCCAAAGTGTGAAGAATTTTAATTGTTATGGATTCCATAGCATCCTCTACAACAGTAAAAAAAATGAAATTGAAACAAAAAGTCCGATTACTACAGATAGAAAAGTTATATGGGCTTGACACCTAAATTTAACTTCAAAATTATGCATGAATCGTGACCCCAATGGTCATGGCAGCATCCTATTTATTTGGTTTGTGTGCTAATATAATAATTTTCTTTTTCAGATCATGTCGATAATAGGAGACGAATTAAATTTCGGAGGAATGAAATATATATTTTTTGGTTGCATTATCTTTAGGCTTTTAATATTTAAGTTTTATATTTAGATTATATAATTTAAATTTTTAACTTTTATGTTTGAATTATGTAATTCAGAATTTTAAGTGTCCAAAGTTTGTTCGAATTTTATTTTTTTTAATATAGAATATGTTATTGCAGAATTTTTAGTGTAGAATGAAGAAAAATTAGTGCAGAATTAAAATAAAAATAAAAAAGAAAGAAGAAGAAAACCGGGTACCTTGTTATTCGAACCAGCGGGTACCCTGATTTTAAGGACTGGATCATAGGCCGATTTTTTAGTACCCGAACAACTCGGGTACCCGGTACTTCGAGTAACCGATTTTGAACACCCCTATTTTACGCTGTCCTTGTCTGCGGCGGAATCGAAGTGTTCGGAATTTTTCAGGGTTCCACCGTAAACTTTATCTTCGATAGTTTGAATTCTGTTCCTTAATTTTAAGTGAATATAAGGTAATATTTATTTAAAAAACTCTTAACAATTTAATAATAAACACTTATATATTCCCACGTACGTATTACCAAGGATGCTAATGATCATACTAGAAAAATGAAATAGTTTTGATACGCTATTCGCAATAATCGACTTTTTACAACAACTTAATGAAAAGGTTATTTGTGTGTCGAAAGGCGTAAAACAATTACTTAATAATTGTTTCAAGCAAATAAGTATTCCTCACTCTTTTTTTTAATAGAGTAGATAAACCTCTCTTTTTCTTTCTTTTTGATATTTTTGGACGGCTGAAACTAATATCTTAAAATTGGATATGTAAAAGTAAAATTATAAATATTTTATTATACTCTTATAGATGTAATGTTTTAATAATAGTTCTTTTAACTAAAGGTCGTATGATTGTTAGCAGTAGTTTGAACTTTAAATGCACCACTAAAACTAGAATCAGACCTATTAGAATGAATTTAGATTTAAAATATTGCTTATAACAACAAGAGCAGGTCTTTAAATGAACCGCCAATGATCTACAAACCGAGAGAGAATGGAATATCAGTAAAATTTAGCCATTCATTTCCCTGTATAAACGCCCCGGCAGTGAACAGGTTTGCCTCAGTTGAATTGTTGATGACCCTATAACCAGGCCAAGTTACCCTTGCACTCGTATTCGACCCTGGCCCTCTATTCATATACTCCCTATAGTAGAGTGTACTCAAACCAAACGTCCCATTCCATTCTAACCATCCCGCAGGATCGACCGAGTCATCGATGTACGAACGCATAATAACGGTTCTTGAATACTCTTTCCAAGGTCGTCCCAAATACGTCTTGAACGACGACTTCACCGGTATCAAATCCGCCGCGGCTGCAATCTTACTGTCCAAAATCGAAATGCCGGTGTTTTGGTTAGGGTCTTCTCTTCCTTGTGCTGTGAAAATGTTCTTTTGGTTTGGATTCGGTTTACGAGCATAAAGATTGCAACCTTGGAAAACCGCAGCCGCGTTTCCGAAGACGAAGTCGATGGTGCCGTATACGTCGCATTCGCGATAGAATTGCCTTAAGGAATGGACGTAGAGAGTGTCTTGGTAGCCGACGAAGCTGCACTTATAAAATGCAGAAAGGTCGGAGCCAGTCCTTAACGCCACCGCTTGATGTTTGCTAGGGCCTGCTGAGTTCTCAATGGTAATCCCTTTGGCTATGAAACCGTCTCCCACCACAGCTGGGGCAACAAAAAACACCATGTGAAAAAGAGGGTGTACTTTTAATTACACAGGCTTTTCAATGATTATTAAAGCAAATTCAAAAAAAGGGAGGCAAAGGAAGCAATGTGCAGCCCACTTTAGCATGTGAGCAACTGTTCTGTTGGAGTTACAAGTTATTTACTTTAATATGTAAATAAGGATGAATTGGGAGGGGTTGACTGATGATTTTCTCTGTTAAATTTCATATAATTTAGATATTTTTATATATTTTGTTAATAATATATTTTTATATTTAAAATTTAATAAATTCATATTCTGGCATGGAATTATGTTATTACATGAGTTTAAAGAAGAGGATGGTGATGTGAAGACAAAACTGTCCATGACAAATCAAGTAGGCAGTAGTTAAGGCACTTCGTTTTATCCGAGATGTGTGTCCTAATCGTAGGCAAACATATTTATCAAAATTGGAGCACGACCATATGTTGACGAGCCCCTATTAATGTACTAGAAGATAAGAAGCATGTGTTTAGTAATTATTTTTCGAAATCAAGGTATCCACAGTTCAATGACTAATTATCTCACTATAAGTATTAATAAACAATTGATTATAAAATATATTTTATTTTCATGAAATATCAGTATGAATGAAAAAATAAATTTTAATCTCATAAATTATAAATGATTAAATGTTTGATGAGAGTGATAGTTTGAAAATAAAATTGAAATATTTAAAAATTTAAGAATTAATTTAAAATAAAAATTATAGTTCAGTGATGAAATTAAAATGTTTAAAAAAATTCAATAGTCAATTTAAAATGAGAGTTGTGACTTGAGAATGTATGTTACGATTAACTCTTAAATAAAATTAATCATAACATTTTATTAAAGTAAGATTAGGTGTTAAAGACTTATAGTTAAGATTAGTGTTTAAAACTTAAGGTTTAAGATTTAAATTTTAAAATTTTAAAGTTTATAATTATAGGATCTAGGGTTATACATTAAAATTACAGGGTTTAATATTAAAGGAATGTTGTGCAGATTTAAAATTTAATATTTAGAGTTTGGAGTATAAGAATTTGTATATTTATTAATTAAAGTTATAACGAGAGTAGTGAGAATAGGGCAACATTTTAGGGGGGAAATTATTTAACTTTGAAATTAATAAAAAATAAAAAGTATTTAAATTTAAAATTAAACTAAAACCTAATTTAATTAATTTCAAAATCAAACAGGACTTAATAAGTACTTAAACTAGAAAATGTGAGCAACCAGACTTGGTTTAACTACTATTTAAACTAATGAGACCTTAGTTGAGCATGTCCTTTTGGTTCCGCCATGAATGAGAGTTAATTTGGTTTTATAAATATTTTATATTACTCATGATATATTAATAAGTGTTGAGTGTTACAGTAATATGCATTATAGTACTGAAAAGAAAAGAAATATAAATTTTAAAAATAATATTATTATGAGAAACAACTCCATATCCTAAAATCTTAAAACAAACGTTGACCTTACTTAAAATTTTAGTCCTTGGGCCCTGAAAATATATGAAGTGATATGTTATGATTGATTTATATTACTCTAAAATTATATATTAATGTATCATAATATGATTTATAGAGAAATTCATTAGTTACTATTAGACATCTTATATAAACCCTAGAATAACGTGAATCCTCCTCTGATTGGACACATTAGAATAAATTCTCGTCCGATTTGTAATAGATAATAATACATCCAAATCTAATATAGATTAAATCCCACTGGTGAGCAAAGTATTATAGTAAAAGAAAATAATAATACTATACTAATCATTAACTTAATTAAAAAATATATTTAAAAACTCACCGACTGTGGCAGATCGGAAAGTCGTGAATCCATCAACCACGTTTCTGCTGGCCTTCACCACTGTCTTCCCGATCCCATCTCCCACGAACATCAGCATTGTCTTCTTCCTTTCTACTTCCACATTTTCAAAATAAGCCCCGGCTTTTATATAGATCACAAATCTCGTGTCACTGTTGTTCGGAGCGGTGGCAACAGCGGCGGTGATGTTGGTGAAGTTCCCAGTGCCGTCCTTGGCAACGACGAGATCAAACTTGGTTTCGTTAACCGAAGCTTGCAACAGTTTCCGATCTTTCCAGGATAACCATGTCGGGAACCCGTTTTTCACGCGTTTATGTTCAGTGAAAGCCTCGGATTTCGATTTGTTGACTCCGTGGACCTTGTTGAGAATCGCAAGGGAGTTGCTGACGTGATGAGAGATGTTGTGGAGGCCGTTCTTGATGATGCTCCGAACATGGCCGTCGCTACGGGCGAACCCGTCGAAACAAGTGTACTGGTTCGTCATTGCCGCGCTTAAAAACGTCTGCAAGTCATGTTTGTTGGTCTTGAACACCGGTAATCTCTTCGGTGCAAGATCGAAGAGGACCAGTTTAAGCTCCGCGACGGTGTAATCGAAAAGCTCGAGGCAATCATTAATGGCCGTCTCTTCCAATGCGTTGTAACTTTTGAGATTCTTCCCGATGTTGGTTATGTTTGCAGAGGAGAGTCTGACCTCGTACATTGTTTGGTGCAAGATTGCAGTGATGAGCTCCGGGAGGGACTTGGATGGGAGATCTGGGACAACCGCAATGGTGGAGACGCAAAGCTCGGGATACAAAGTGCCCTCGCATGCTGAGTAAGCTGCTTGGAGATGATTTTGGACGTGAAAATGACGGATTTGTGTGGTTTTAGGGATAGTTTTTAGAATTATTACAGACAAAAGTAAGGCTAAGACAAGAGCTGAAATGGGAACAAGAACAAGCAATGTCTTAAATCTTACACTAGGGTTGTTCATGTTTGATGCTAGCTAGTTTATGGCGACGGAAATGGAAGGAAATAGAGAACAGAGACGGAAAAGAAAGGAGAGAGAGAGATACCGACAGATGCTAGGCGAGTTCTTAAATAGGGTTGTTGATTAGATCTAAGCAACGCGGATCATTAAGGAGTAAAGCATCGCTTTCTATACATATGCATTTATGTGTATTTATATTATATAAAATATTTACCAAAAATATTGAAATTATGTTATTATTTATCTTTTTCATGTTACTCAATTATTTTTCATTTTTAATATTTAATCGGCAGCCAAAATTATGGCCACAACTCACGGAAAATGGATCATGTATTGTTCCCCATTACTTAGAATTCACAAAGATCTGTCTCTCATAAAAAATAGTAATATTTAGATTAATAATTTAGTTTTTCTAATTAAACTTTTTGCAAGTTTTAAATTTCAAATTAACTGTATTAATTTTTGTAATTTTAGCTTAATATAAAAGTAAGTGTTTAATCTATACTTAAAGTTAATTTTAAGTTACACTTTTATATAGGGTGATTTTTTGTAATAATGCAGTTGAAAAAATTGTTCGAATAGGACACCGAGAGATTATTTGCTCGAATGAGTGAATGCTACAGTACACATCGAAGTCGCACTGGGCTCCCTGCGTCTCCCCAAGGTCGCATGGAACACCATGCGACTCCCCCTCCCCCGGATCACAATGCGTCGCTCTCCCCCCACCCCCAATTTTTTTATCTAATGATTAAAATTTAAATAAAAAATGAAATATGAAAAAAATATGGGAGACGCATTTCACTCAATGCGTCTCTCCCAAATTTATACTAGAGTCGCATGACTGTAATGTATCTTTGGGGTGTACTGTAACAATCACTTTAAAGAAATAATTTCGAGAATGCCCTATTCAAATAAACTTTTTTTTGACTGCATTATTGGGAAAAAAATCATCCCTTTTATATACCTACGTTGTAATAAATTAATATTTTTTATTCCTGCCCCATACTCATCCTATCTGAATTGGACACTGGATAGGTTAGAAAGTTACAGCATGAGCAGTAATCTTCATATTTGATGGTGAACTTGGGATTTAATATTTAGCTTGGGCTTCAGCTTCCACTCTTAAAGCTCTACAAAGCTTATTTCCGCCTAACCCCATTACTTTTCTTAGGTTGTACCAAACTTGGGTAAGCTAAAAGCTAGAGGCCAGACCATGCCCATTAATTATTCGTTGAAGGCCATTTGATCTTTTCTTGGCTGTATTTTTTAAAATTATTTAGTAAAACTACCTTTTCTAAATTGAGAAAGAGAGTTACATCAAGCTCTTAAATATGAGGGGTCATTTGCATCTCGATCTATCAAAATAAGAAAATTCGGTGGACGGTAAGAAAGTCCGGCGGAGCACCGTCGAAAAGAGTGACGTTCAAAGAATTATGATCCACAAGTCTTGCAAGTACAAATAAAAATATAAGTTTTGATTTTAACAAATAAATAAAAATAAATCAATAGAATGAATATATCACTTCTCTTATGATTTTTGATGATTTAATATAGTAAAACCTAGATTTTAAATTTTATATCAGTTTTATTTTGATTTTATCGAACGATTGTTATATTGAATAATTGAATTTTTTTTTTTTTTTTTGTTCTTAAGTTTTTAATAGTTTCTAACATTTTGAAGAAACAATAAATCTTAGATATTATGCCTAAGAGGAAATTGAGTGATCTGCGGATTGTTCGAGCTCCTCAAGTGAAGGAGAAACAAATAATGAAGAACCGATTGGTGGTGAATCTTCAAAAATTTTGAATACAATTGAAGAAACTGTAGAAATTGAAGGTAATGTTTGATACTATATTTAACTAGTGGTTGATTTTTTTTATTGACTTGATTTTGAAAACTTACACTAAATTATTTTTTATGTAGTTGAAAATGGTCAAAGAAGCAATACTAGAGATAGTACGATAATGATGGAATTATACGACCTTCATGCTGGAGATCGTGTCAAAGTTACAAGTAATGATGTCGACACACCTATTGGGATAGAAGCAGGTGTTCTGGTTAGTTACTTAGGCGTGATTGCGCGCAATGCTAATCTTCTACCGATAAATAGAGAGGTCACAAATGTTCCTTGAAAAATAAATATTTTAAGAATGATATAAGCCTAGAACAAAACTGCAAAATGTCGTACTTGGAATGCTCAAGTATCAATGAGAATATGCAATCAAGTTTTGGAGTTCAAAGAAAGGAGAGGTATGATGTGAACTTTAAAAAATAATATTGTGTCACTATAATTTATATTTTATAAGTCATGGAAATTTCAAATTGTAGGAACAAGAGCACATTGTTATTATTAGCAAACAGCAACAATGTTGGGAAATAAAATGAAAACAAGTAATTTCCCTATAATCAGATTAGTGCGAATGCGAAATAAAAGCGGAAAAATAATACCCGAAATTGATAACGGAGTTCAGTCAATTATGCCTACGTCTCCAGACTGCTGCATATCTTTTACTAAGAGAGAAAATTTACAGGTGTTTACAAAACACTCACTTCTCACAAGAAAGCTCTCTAGTATTAGGAGAAAGAAATGATTTGGGATGCTTTTGAAGCTAAATGAGCTAGAGTATTTATAGTTGAAGCTTAAGGACTAATCTTGTAAATACCCTAAAATAAAATGATTAAATGTATTTTTCCCTTTGCCATTTTCAACAAAAAATAGTTTGAATTCGGTGCAATTATCGACAAAAAATAGCTTGAATTCGTGCAATTAAATGCACCACTTTCACACCGAAAGTTTCCCTTGACTACTTTTCCAACAAACAAAAGTTTACTCACACAGCTGGATCGAAGAGCTTTGCTCGTGTAGCTCATGAGGATCGAAGAGCACATTGGTATTGCTAGCAAACAACAACAAAAAGTTTACTCACACACTGGATCGAAGAGCTATTCTTTTTTTTTTAATTATGATTATTCACATAGTAATGAACATTTTTTTTATTTATTATTTTTTTGTAAGTACTAATTTATGTTCTATATTGTAGGAAACTATGTCCGACAACCGAGTTGGACGAATAAAGCTCTTCAAACTGAAACATACAAAAAAAGATGGCTCTCTTTTGGCTCCTGAAGCTGCAGAAATCATGGTATATTTATTGGACATAAAATTTGAATTATGTTATACTTATATAACTATATAACATATTTATTTTAAATAACATTTGAATTTATTCTAAATTCTTAATTGATTCATAGAAAATTGGGTGATAAAAGGACGGAGTATGAAGCGATGGCTTCATCTCATGGGTCCATTAATGTGGGCGAGATTGAAAATCAATTTATTGCTGAAGTTTTTGGTCCTGAAATATATGGTCGAGTTCGCTATCAGGGATTATTCGTTACACCATCCAAATATTTTGGATCCAGTTCACCTCAGTACATGCTATCACAGAGTCAATCTTCTCAATCAGAAGTTATTCGATTAAAAAAGCAATTGACTAAAGTAGATGAAAAATTTGCTCAAATGAAAGCCCAAGTTGAAGCGAGAGAAGTAGAACGAGAAGTGAGAGAAATAGAGAGAGAAGCATCATATCAATCTAAATATGATGAACTTCAAAAACAACTAGAAGCTATGAAGCATATGATACAACAATATCAACCGCAAAAATCACCACCCTAGGTGATTTCTTATGTTCATGCTCTGTTTATTGTAGTTGTTAAACTATATTTCTTTTTACTTGAATGTTGAACTACATTACATTTCACTTAATGTTGAACTGTGTACTTGAATGTTTGTAAACTTCGATTTATTTATGTTGTTAAGTATTTTTTACTTAATTTAAGTCGTATCAAAATTGTTATTGGAAATTGTTACTACATGATACGTTAAATTTGGGCAATAAAGATTAGAAGTTAACATTTGTAAATCATTCTCGATTAGCAGCATTTTTACTTTAAAATGCCGCTAATGTCCGAACCTATTGTGGCGTTTGTAAAAAATGCCGCTAAACGTCTGAACCTATTGTGACGTTTGTAAAAAACGTCGCTAAATGTCCGATCCTATTGCGCCAGTTTTTATTTACAAATGCCGGTAATATTTGCGGCGTTAGTTTTAAGGGTGTTTCTTACTACGCTTAAAAACGCTTCTATAGGACTAAAAGCTATAGCCCCATTATGATTGCTTGTTTTTTGCCTGAACAGTATTGGAACTTCTATTTGCTACTTTTTCATCTGCTAGTAGTAGGGTTTAGACTACTCTTCTATACTCGGTAGCATCACCTGGAAGGAAATTCGATTTAGTGATCAATAAAATTATGATTCACCAATGGTGATTGCAAAAGCCTTGATCCATCTCTAGGGTAACGCTAACCAAAAGACCATTGACCTTAATCTCATGAACGAGTAGTAGTAGAAAATGCTTGGCCTATCTTGGGAGTCTAAAATACAATAAACTAAAATAAAATTAAAAGAAAGGTCGTAATTGATTTAATATTTTATTTTTATATGACTAATTTGGTGATTATTGGCTTCAAATGTTTTTATATACTTTGATACATTGTAATTTTGATTCTTTTCATTATTAATGAAATATAATTGTCATTATTAAAAAAATCATAATTGATTGTAACTAAAAAACTTATTATTCGTGTAGCTTTTTTAGTAAATTATATAACATTTAAAGTTGAAATTGAGAATATTACGTTCTCATTAACAAATCATGTAATTTTCATAATTATTATGGTTGTATTATAAACAATTATTGTCAAGAAACTCATATAATATTTTCGATGGTAACCGAAATTAATATCAATTTTTTATCTTTTTTTATTACGCTAAACTGATCAATTTTTTATCTTTTTAAGCAAACACGTAACATTTTAAGTTTAAAACTGTAGCAAATTAACCTTAGATTTCTTATCGCAGAGTAGAACTACCACATGCATATATATATATATATATATATATATATATATATATATATATATATATATATTTTGCTAATTTCAAGTCAAACAAATTAAACAATAATTACCCAGAAAAAAATGCAAGCAAAAGATTTTAATATTCTTTC